CTAACATTCTGTGATTCTGTGATTTTTCATGTGCTTGTTCCCAGAGTGATGTTAGATTGTATCATCCCTAATGATCTCTCTTGTTTTTTTTTAATTGCTTGAACTTAAGCTAACGCTATGTTTATTCTCTAAAAAATCCAAAGTTGCATTTTCAGAAGCAGCAGAGATACTATGTCTCTAAAGTCATGTACGCTATTCTTGCAGACAGTCACTTTCCCCCATAGCTTGGAGTATGAGTCTTTCCTCATTTCCAGGTTTTAGATTATTTTTTTTTTTCAGTGCTTCATGAAGATTTAGTCACTGGTGTAGAGCTGTGCCCAGGATGTGGTCTTTGGGGTATAATATTTATTTTGAGGCTTCACTACAGGCATTTCTCTAGGCAAATTATGTTGTGTATTTCAAATGTGTTCATGTTTAAAGATTTTCTTTTCAACTGCATTTGCGGTGATATTTTGCAATGAGAACATTACCTGTAATTTAATCTGTCATAAAATACAAGGATCATCTTTAAGAATACTAATAGAATCCTTGATGAAATCTGATCATAGGAGTTGCTGCCAGAGAAACTGCGCAGGCTTTGAAGACTTTGGCTCAGGCAGCACGAGGGGTTGCAGCATCTACTACTGACCCTGTGGCAGCACATGCAATGTTGGATTCAGCAAGAGATGTCATGGAGGGCTCTGCAATGCTTATTCAGGAGGCAAAGCAGGCCCTGGCTGCACCAGGGGATGCAGATAGGCAGCAGAGATTAGCCCAGGTAAGTTGTGACTTGAGCAGCTGCGTGAATTATCAAACTCCCGGCATTAAATAGTGAGAAAACAACAGAAAATAAGGCTGCAAGGAAAGTCAGCTTTCTCATGCTTCCAGCAGCTCTCAGATAGTAACATCATACTTATGTTAAACAATGCAGATGGTGTGAAGTATGATATTTTAGTCATATTTTAGAAAAATTAACTTATGCAAAGATGTACTGAAGTGCTTTTACCCACAACATATTTGAGTAGGCTGCTTGACTGCAAAAATTAAACAACTGTTAAACTGATCTTTATTAAATGAAGGATCTGTGTTTATGGTATATTCAAAAAGTGTATGTGTGTTTTCCACACATGTCACAACTGCTTTTGAAGGCTTTAAGGAGTAACAGGTTCTTTTTTACTGGTCCAAAAAGCTCCATAATTGGCCTGTATTTTAAATAATTTCTTATGAGGAGACATTTGTTTTAATCAGGACTTTGTCTGAAAAAAAGTAGCATGCAAAGGATTTCTGTGACTCATATATGGTTAACTGTAGGGGCATTCCCTTATCTGCAGTGCTGCAGCCTTTATCCCAGGTGCCAGGAGCAGTTGTGGAGCTGCCCTGACAACGTTATCCTGTCAAATGGGTGAGCGTAAATAATAACTACTGCTAGACTACAGGTGAGCAAACCAAGAAAGTCGCAAGCCTCAAAAAGGATCTTTGCTAGAGTTGCACAGTGGGAAGTGCTGGCTGTAGAACATGCCTCCTGTTAGATAAATGACCCCTTAAACTTTTCTTGGTGTAGATGTGTTTACCTGTGTGTTGTAGGTGGCAAAAGCAGTGTCTCACTCCTTGAATAACTGCGTGAATTGTCTGCCTGGACAAAAGGATGTAGATGTGGCCTTGAAGAGTATTGGGGAATCTAGCAAGAAGCTCCTTGTGGATTCGGTGAGATGTCTTTCAACACAGAAATAAGTTCTGGAGAACTGAAAAGCAGATATAGGTTCCCTGTGTGTCAAATTTTTATCCAGTAAATGTGCCCTAACTATATTTCATATAAGTTTCGTTTAAGTTTGTGCAACTTTAAGTAACTGCTACTTTGTCTGAAATGCTGCTCTTCTAGTTTATGGGAAAGGTAAAATGCGTGTGTGGCTTATGAAGCCAGTATTAAAGTTGTCATAGATCACCACTAGTTTGGTTTTTTGAGAATGCCAACTATGACTTAACTATTTGAAGAATATGAAAATTTGAAAATTATAATCCATCTCTTGCCTAGAAGTGATCAGTTCACTTTAAGGAGCATTGTGGTTGGTCAAAAAAATGTTTGGAGCATCTGTGGTCACTTTGTGCGAGGAGAAGAATTGTTACATTTCTGTTTAACTGCATCCCTGTCAAAAAAACCCCTTTGTGCACTGGTAATTTGCTGGAAAGTTGTATGAACAGCTCTTTTTTTGTACCTACCAGTGATCATGCTAGCCTGTAAATGAAGGAAGAATTGTATTTTGATGTGTTTGCAATGCCTTTTGGTAAAACCGGGCCAGTTTAGACTCATTTTGAAGAGCTGCCAGTACTTGTGTGGCATTCTGGAAAGGTTGTCTGTGGAAGTGCATGATGACTTGGAGGCCAAAATTCTCCAACATTTGCCATCAAATTCATCACTTGAGATTGCATAGTTGAACCATGAAATAGCTGCCGTCATCTGTATCCCTTGAAAGAAACAGTGGGACTGAGGTGGTTGTATCAGTTTCTGGTTGATAGCTGTCCTGTAGTTGGACCAGTCTGCATTCAGGACTGAGTCACTAGCAGTCCAGTTGCAGAACTCAGTTTTAGTGTGTATGTGAAGGTCACGACTGTTTTGCGTTTAGTGTTCTTGAATCGTGTTGAACTTTCCAGTAGTGAAGGGCTAGTGTGACGTGACGAATGTCAGTTTTATTAATACGGCACTTGGTCTCCTACAGCTACCTCCAAGTTCTAAGTCATTTCAAGAAGCTCAGAGTGAGCTGAACCAGGCAGCAGCAGACCTCAATCAGTCAGCAGGAGAAGTTGTCCATGCTACACGGGGCCAAAGCGGCGAACTGGCTGCAGCCTCTGGAAAATTCAGCGAAGATTTTGATGAATTTCTTGATGCTGGTATTGAAATGGCTGGCCAAGCACAAGTAAGTGTGTTTCGTTTTGTTTTTTAATCTTGCTAATTGGGACTAAGAGTTATCTTGGACACAGTTATCTTGCAGTGCAGTGTCTTGGTTATCTTGTAGCACAGCACAGTATGCTAGTGTGAGCCTATCCAAATATGACAGGTGATGTTTGTTATGAGACAGTCATCTGTAACTGGCTGTCCAGAGTGAAGTCAACTCAGCATTTGCAATTTATGCAGGATACTGGTATTTGTTCCTGTGCTCAGTCAGAAATGACTCCATAGTCCTGCGTAATTTGGGCTGTTAACTAATTTGAGTTGTAGGTCTGAAGGTACAAAAGTGTTCTGAACCTCTCAAAGCATATTGAAAGGGTTGATTTTATTTTGGTAGAACTATCATGAAGCATAATTTATGTGAACACTGGTCAAAATTTAGCACCATTCTTTGCTAATTTTTGAATGCTTTAAGTAGAGGGAGGAAGAGACGCGGTTAAAATCCAGACTTGATATTGGTCTGTGGTGCATGCTTGTGTGGACCTGCTACAGAGTGGAGCCAGCATTTGAAGAGGGCGGCTACAATGTCATGGATCTGACAGCAAGCACTTGGACTTCAGTGATTTAGATCACTTCAGTGATTTAAAATCTGGCAGAGTTCTATTCTGATGAACTCAGTAACAATCAGGAATGTTGTTCTGTATTACCTAGCTTATTCCTAGGAGTCTAGGTACTCATTTGAAGCTGGAGATACCTCCTTCATTTTATCTTGCTGGGCTTAGGTGTACTGAATTACACTAATTGGTCATTTAGAGATGATTTAACTTAACAAATGTCAGCATATAAAAAAGGGTTGTGTACCAGGAGAGCTAGAAGAACTTGCAGAAAAAAAGAATCTGCAGACTGTTTGGTTCTAGTTAGCAGGAGGAACTTGCAAACTTAAGAAATGATTGCTGAAAGAAAAGTAGCCACAAAGTCTTGAGTGTGCCAGTCCTTTGAAGTCATTGATGAAGTGTCTCTATAGAGCAGGTCCTTTGTAGATAGAGCTGAGTAGAAAGATCGGACAATGACTGCTTATTCTCCATCAAAACTGGAGTTAGGTACCTGACTATCTTTTGTGGGCCTCATTGACTTTTAAAATGTTTTGCTTGAGGCAATTCCATGAAGGCAAAGGTAGAAATGATAATGCAAATAGCTACTTGAAAAGAGAATTCCAGCTGCTGATGACCTTGTGGCCCTTCCTGATTTGCTTATCCTGCTGACACTGGGAATGATAACCATCTTAGTTATTAATGGCTGATCTTTCAGAAGAGAATGCTTTCTGTCTGTGGCCAGAACAGACGCAATACCAGGCATTTTGAATGCCCAGCAAAATGGGGGTGGGGGGTGGGCAGGGAGGAAGCAGAATGCAAACACAGAGTAAAAGCCATTCACATCAGCTGAGTAATATGCAACCTCTTTACATAAAACCCTGAGAGACTGTTTAGAAAAAACAGATTCACTTCTACTGATCTTTGACAGAGGAATCTGGGCACCGCTATTTGCTGTGATAATGCAGCACTTTCCTTTTCAAGCAATGGCTTGAAAATAAGTAATAGAAAGATCTAAGTCAGAATGTTTACCTAAGCGGGCTTATAGAAATGTATTTTCTTGGGAGAGGGGACTTTCTGGAGAGATCTTGATCTTTCTGTATGAGTAATCCCAGTTGGATGCTAGAGAGCATCCAGGCTACACAAGAGGATGTTAGAATACAGACAGTGTACACTGACTGAATAATGTGGATCAGTTGTGCCAGGCAGAGACACATGGGAGTCTTGACAACAAAAGCATTGTTCAACAAATAGTAAAGTTTATCCATTGCTCGTTTGTGAATGCTGACATTGTTACAAACCAAGCTGTTTTGTTATATGGGTTTCTTTTTCTGTTATGTAAGTGAAGCTAGAGGCACCTGTCCGGGTGAACAGAGGCTTCGGTCCATGTCCTCCTGCTGACGGTGGCCCCCTGCATGTCAGTGGTTTCCAAACTGGTTTTCCAAATGTGGTTTCAGCACACTTTCTTTATTGCAAACTCTGCACTTAGTGTTATGCTGCTGTGGCTTTGCAGACTAAAGAGGACCAGATTCAAGTAATAGGTAACCTCAAGAGCATCTCTATGGCTTCCAGCAAGCTGTTACTAGCTGCCAAGTCTCTGTCTGTTGATCCTGGAGCTCCTAATGCTAAGAACCTGTTAGCAGCAGCAGCAAGGTAAGGATGTGTTGCTTGCTTTAGACTTTCCTAAGATATTTGCTTTTCTCTGTGATATTTATAATGTGTTTATATATTCTTCTGCCATTGACAGTTCTAAAGAGTGGTTGGAACCTACAGTTATTTTTAAATGAAAGTAGGCCAGAGGAAAACTGCTTATTTTGGAGTAGTTCCTTAACTGGCATAACTTGTTACCTTTGGTGGAAATAAGAACCAGCAGTTGAAGAGTTGGCCTGGGTTTTGAAAGGGACTAGTGTGTTTTACCATCTGTGTTCTGACAAGGCAGTAGCTAACAGTAAGCCTCTCAATCCCTAATGAAGAAAAGAAAATTAATAATTTTCTTCCATAGAATGTGTTTAAAAATCACATTGTGGCTACCTATCACTAACAGTGTGTATGTGTGTATGACAAAGAACGCTTGAAACGTTTAGGTGCTCTGTTTATTTGGTGGAAGATACCCTTACTTTAAGGATTTTGACAACCATGCCCTAGATTTCATCTTGTGGACCCTGTTTCTTAGTCAAGGTGCTCGGTGTTTATGTGAAAAATAACACCGCATTTCAGTCTTTGACTGGATAATCGCCTCTCCTTCACTTTGTCAAATCCTTCTCACAATTTTTTTTTTAAATTAACTTTTTATTCAGTTATCTAAGTTTGTAAATGGAATGTTCAGATATCAAACTGGAAGGGGACTGTTGAAGGACAGATAGACATCACAGCTAGAAATGTCAACATGAAATCAGGTGAACATCTGAGATTACGTGGGGTGTGACTAATAATGTTGTCTTCCAAAATGTTTACAACCACAAAGATTAGCCTAGGGAGGAGGTAAGTTAAGACTGTTACTTCCATGCTGAGAATGTTTGTCCTGGACCTTGGAATCACCCCTTTCCAATAGCAATAACTTTGTTTAAAAAATAAATCTACTTCTTTTAATAAAGGACTTCTTTAAGAAGCTATGCTACTTTCCTTTGTCATATTTGTTTTTAAAAAAAATAATATTCTGACATCTGTCTCGTCTCTCTGGAAATAAATACCTTCTAGGAAAATTGTAGTCAACCAAAGGCACTTTGCTTTAAAGTGAAGGAGTTGCATGTGCTGTTGTTATTGCCCCAACATCAGAGTGCTGCAGGTTTCTGCTTTAGGCGTAGAGCACTCCTGTTTGGAGCATAGAGGAAGTCAGTGTCCCCAGTGAAGCCCTGTGAGCTGTTAGTTTCTGCCAGGCTGGTATTCCCTATGTAGAAGCATGTAATTTAAAAAGGGAGACAAGCCATGCAGAGCCTTTAAATGTTCTGTTTTGCCTTGCTGTTAGCATGTGTATGTGCGTCTGCATACGTACGGCTTTACACAGGCATCAGATAACCATGAAAAGTAAATACTGTATCAGTTCTCAGTTTGTGTGTAAGATGCTAAGAAGACACCAACACCATATTTCCCTTCTTAAATCCTCTGTGGCTGCTTGTGACAAGCTTGTTAGAGCTCTGTTTTCTTTCCCTG